GGGAAGGCAGCAGAGCCGGAGCCACCGGCGTGACGGGGCCCTAAACACAAATGGAGAGAAAAAGAAGGAAGCGTGTCAAAACTAACACTATAGGAGACCCAGCACAGCGCAGGCAATCGGGAACAGGGCTGTAAAAAGCAGGACACCATGGAGAAGCTGCTGGGATGGTACAGGATCACCACACAGAGGGTGGGAAGCAGAGTGTAAGCAGGAGAAATCAAAGGGGTTGGGGTTTTTTTCTTCTTTTCCTTTTTAAATTACTTTAAACCTTACCCATTCCTAAGGGAAGTAGTTATCAGGAAATCGATGAGCATCAAGAGACAGAGCTTTAAGCTGCAGATACATGTAAACAACTGGCTTATTGGAAAGAAAACCACCCTTGTGCAATAAAACAGTGTCTTTCATACAAATTCCACATCTTACCTCTCCTTACGAAATGCATAGCTGGCAGGAGTATGGCAAATTAGGTCAGGCTGTACCCAGATGAGGGATTAGTGGAGGAGCAGTTTAGAAATAGCTGAAGACACTGACAGGTTTGGAACAGAAAATGTTCTTTGGTTATTCTGAAGAGCAGGGAAAGGGTGAGATTTTGCCAGCAACACATAACCTTGTCCCTCACCACCAAGGCTCAGAGTGAGAGTTAAGCAAACACTACTGATAAATAACCTGCAGGTTTTCACAGCTGTAATGGAGCTCCAGTGCTCATTTTCTTTGCTGGCAAGCAATGAAACACAGCAGAGGTGAGCCCTGCAATGCTTCTGTGGTTCTTTTCATCATGAGTGAGCTGTGCTAGTGAATTAAACGTGTCATAAAGAGACGCTTTTTCACTTTTGAAAACTATTGGTATAGGATAAGCAACAGCATAAGGGTACTAACTAATATAAATGGCAGGTAGTTGCAGACCTGAAGCAGAACGAACCAGCACAGCCCTGCTCTGAAACAGAAAGTAGGATTTCTCTGAAGTTGGGAAGCAGGAATAGTAACATAAATAGTGCTGAGGTAATTCAAAACAAAGAGGAAGCCAGGAAAGTCTTATTCTTAGAAAGGGTGAGAAACAGTCTGCTTTCACAATTAAGGTTGCCTTACCTTTTCAGGTTTCTTAAAATGGCAATGCAGTGAGTATTTGACTAATCACAAAATCCACCACGCAACTGCATTGAAACAAGCACATATTCAGACCAGCAATACTGTAGCACAAAAAATCGAATTTATAGATTCCTCCAAAGCAAAGCATGAGACTAATAAATGCTCGTGGAACCTGGGGAACTCACAGATTTCCAAAACAAGGGACAAAAATCCCAGTAAAAACCAGCTAATTGGTGGTAACTAATAAAGGTGAATACTTCTTCTCCCAGAAACCTCTAAAAAAAAAAATTCTATTTGTTGGAAGATAATTTGGTAAAATGATAGATTTTCTCAAAATTTGCAGGCAATAGCTTGATAAAACGTGTGAGCTAATTATAAAACATCTTTTTCCTAAGTCCTGGCATTACAGTGAGTCAGTCTCTGGCAACATTCCCACTGGTTCCTCTGCTTTATTATGTTCCTTACATCTCCAGAGGTAGTCGTTATCCTGCATGCTGTAGCAAATAATAAACCCCCAAGTACAGACAAGTAAAAATAGCCAAGATTTTAATGCACAAAAGGCAAGGGCACAGTGAAATAAACAGCTGGAGATACTTTTGTTAACAGATTCATCTTCTTATGTTTTGGCTTGTAAATCAGTCTTCCGGCTCATCTGTCAGATTTGCTTCAAGCAATCAAACCAAACATGCTCTTAGAAAAGAAAATAGCACTAAGTCTAAGCAATACTGTTGTAAAAGAATTCCAGTAAATGCTGTCCAGAAATCCCATTTGGCTGCCTCAGCTATCCAAGAGTATTTTTAATAGGGGAAAGAGGAACCTTTTATAAGAATATTCATTTTTTTTAAATGTAAAATTCCATCTGGTCAGCAAACCAATCTGGAGAGAGAAGGCTCTCAAGAGTGAATAGTCAGAGACCTGGGAATTGACAATCCTTAGATTCAGATTCTTTTTCCAGTTCCCCATCAAAGCCATCCTAAGTAATTTGGGTAGCTCTCTACCCTTGAAATGAGAATATGCATCCATATCAAAAATTTCTGCCTAGTTTATTCTAATACTGCACCTTTAAAAACCATTAGATTCAAGTAGAACTTCACAGTGAAGTGATTTAATCCCCTTTCCTGCTGCTGTCCTTCAAATTAAAGGCCTCTTGCCACTCCCCATGAAGGTCAGATGCATTATGCTTCATGAAGAAATACACTTGTTATGTTTTTCTTTTACTGGTAATTACTTCTGTAAATCTGCTTAACCTCTGTTGAAATAATGGTCTGTTATTATTGTTCTGACATCTCTGCTTCTCCTGCCAGATCTGTTCAAACTGTTGCAGCAAGAGGTTTCTCAAGCACCAGCAATCTGATAGAGGAATCATAAACAAGTGGAGATTTAACTGGGTGTTGCTAAACTTACATATTAGAGAGAAAAAAAGAAAAAACAACCAACAACTCATTAGTATACACGTAGCTGGTGCATTTTATGGAAGGGAAAAATTAAATCAAGTAGGGAAATGAACCTTTTCTTACCTTATGTCCTTGTGCGCCCATGTTTCAAGCTTTTTCCAACTTTCAGGTATATGCTAATTAAAAAATAAGAAGTCTGCCAGCAATTGGTAGTTCTTTGTATCTATTGCAGAAGGCAGGGGGAATCTGAATTCTCTTGCAGCCCACTTCTTTTTAACAGTTTCAACAGCATTTGATCCCATAAGCTTAATTATATTTTTTTCCTTCTAACTAGACTTGAAATAACTTATCATTTTGAGAAAAACTGTAAAAGATAGACAGCAGGATAACAGCATGAAGACTGCCAAGAGGGTGCTTTATTTTTGCTTGCTCTTACAAGCATGGTATCTAATCTCTTATTAAAAATAAAAAATAAATCCCAATTCAGTATAATCATAATTACTGTGTCCTCAACAGCATAAACTTCCATTCAAGGCACTGGAACACACTTTGGAATTTATATCAGCAAAGCAGAAATAAGGGGATTACAGTAAAGTTAAAAACAAAAGACCTGATTAGGGTTTCCTGTTGATTTCACTTTCTGCACAGGATAATTTTCCTTTCCCTATGGTACTTTTACATGTCATAAGAAACTACTTTAAACATCCACTGAATAATCTGGCTAACTGACAGGCTTCTTGCCAGAAAGATAAAACTAGGAAATCAGTAACATTCTAGAGGCTTTGCTAGTGGCTTGGCAGAAAGTCCACCTTTCTATGCATGTTTAGTGTTCTGCCAGAATAGTAATGTTAGATGTCACTGGGGTGGGGTGTAGGAGGTGTGGGTGTCTGTCTGTCCATCTGTCTGTGACTAAGCAGGTGGAAAGAGGAAGTCAGGAAGCGAGTTCTCTATGTCCAGGAGCAACCACCTGCTAGAATGGTTTCCATGTTTGATGGAACCATACCATCAGCCTTCTATGCAGTATTTTAAACATTCCTGAGAGGCACAGAGAAGCAGTCAGCATACACATCTGTGCCAAAGTAAAGATGGTCAAGAGCTCATCCACCACCTGTGCCAGCTGAGCAAGTGTATGTGCCTCTAAGATCTCACTCGGTTTGTAGACAGAGGTTAGGTATCTGCGTAAGATATAATTAATCCTGTTATTTCACTGAATTTAAAATTGACTTCTGCAACTGTTAAATGTGGAAGATAATCTGAGAAAATGTGACCCATGTTATTTCCTTTTAAACGAGTATTGCTTTTTATTCATAGCTATTATAAGATTAACATTAAAAGTTAGCTCTGAAAAAAAGTCTTTACAACAGTTTATGGAGATTAATCTTCCTATTTAGGTAAGTCCAGACATTTACAAGAACAATCACTTAAATAAAAATAGAATATAAAGCCTATGTTTAAAACATGGCCTTTATTAATGCTGTCTAGCGAGCTCCATATTTATCTTACATTGAAATAGTTCTGCTTTGCTTAAGAAAAGACAGAAAAAGTGCATTTACAAGAGTACTTTTTCTTTAATTTTCTGAGAAAATGGAAGAAATTGGAATCACAAGTTGACAAATGTCGTAAAATGAAATTTCAAGAAACATCAATTTTAGTAATGCTACACCATCACTAGTGTTTCGTTCTGACCTTCTGCCATGTGAACCAGAGTATCCCGATATACAGTCTAGAGCATCTATGTTATTACTCTACAGCATATTTAACACAGAAAAAGGGTTAAGAACCCCTTTCAATGTACAAACATGAATAAAAAAATTGATAAAAAAATCACTTTTATACATAATGTATATGCAAACTGTTTTAAATACATGGGTTTGGAAGAGTTATTTACAAACTGTTTCTGTCTGTGGGACAATCCACAGACAAAGCATACACAGTTGCTTTACTTTATTGTTGCATCTCAACTTTGGGAGATGCAAATCCATTCGGCAGTACAGCAAACATAAGAACTTGTGACAAAGTATCTTAAGGGCAACCCAATAAATTTTGTTCCTCAAAACAACGTAAGTACTAGGACTGCCAAAGTTTCCAAATAAAGCCATAATTTTTACCCAGATGCCTGCAGACAGATCTATGTTGTGGAGGCTACATAGACAGACCCATTTGAAATACAGGCATGGCTACTGGATAAAGCATCCTTAAAAGCCATAACTGATACATATGTTTTATCGAAAGAGTGAAGTAACCTAGAATTTTTTTTTTCCAATTTTATTAATATTTTAAAAAATACATAAAAATACAACATCCAATGTCTGAATAAATATATTTAACAAGTTGCAAGATACCTTATTTTACACAAAAATTTCAGCTTTAGAAATCTTGTTAAATAACTTCACTGTTGTTATATATTTCATTTTTCGTCTTTTTGTAACAAAATAAAAACTCTGAAATTACATAGAAAAAAGACAAAATATTTTTGTCAAGGGATAAGATAGTCCACTGAAAACCTATTCACAATTCCACTGTAAACATTAATAAACATTAAAATATTTGCATAATTGTGTGCTCAAAAATCCTATAAAAAGTGGAAGACTTATTACAACTGTAGTTTTCAGTCAACTACACTTCCTTTCACAATTTATTTTGTCCCATTTACACCTTTAAAACTGGGCACATTGCTGAACACATACTTTGGCAGTTCTGTATAGCAAGTGCTTCCACAAAAAGGAACTACTCACCAAGAGTTAACATACAGCTTGGCGAAAGTGCAGCGGTTACTCAGTTCTTTTTGATAATACTCTGATGTCTGCTTGGTGCACTTGCTTTTCTAAGATCTCCCTAGAACACCTGAATGCTTCATTGGACATAACTTTTCAAATTCGGTAAGTGCCCTTTCTCTGCATTAATAAAAACAAAACAAAACCAAACACAATGACAAGCATGTCACATTGTGCCTACAAACCTTCAGTTACCAATGAGCTTAATTTCTCTGAACAGTAAATTAAACAAAAAAAGAGGGTAGGAGGGGAGAACAGGTACAGTCCAGCAGTGGAAGTGTGTACAGAATATACTTGGCAATGTCAAAGCAGTTGAGTGCTTTCTGTGGTTGTATTTCAGGATTTATGTCCATGGCAGCAAGTTGCTGGCAAGGCAGAGAAATGTGCATCACCTGCATTCTACAGCAAGCACGTTTTGTGGAGGAGAAGATGATGATGGACTCATTCCAGTGTCTGATGAAGCAGATGACATGGATGCTCCTGTGTGTGACACTGAATATATAGAACAACAGATCAGCATCAGATTATCAAAGCACAGGTCAGAATGAAGGTTTCCTAGCGTATCAGGTTATTTAAGAGATCTCAAAGGAGTAGCGTGATCACAGGAAACTGATACAGATTTTTTGTCAAGTGCTTTCACTGCTATATTCACATAAAGTGGATGAGTAACTGTACCCTTTCTGCATCACCAGCCAATTGAAAAGATGAATCAGATGAGTCATTACACTGATTGAAAACTCAGACCTAGCTTGCACTAGGAAATCCAAGTTTCTAATACACTGTTATAAAATAGTCAGGGAATGCTTTTGTAAGGTTCAAGTTCTGAAGAGCTATAAATATTTTCTCAACATACCTACAAACAGACTTTTTTTTTCCCTAAAAACACTCCCAATTAAACTCAAGTTGCTTTGAGTTATGTATTTTCAAGAAAATTAACTTCTCATGGGAATCATAAAGCAAATCCAAAAGTTACCTTCTCTGTCCTTCTTTTTCAATCGTTTTCTTCTCCTGTCTATGGTTGCTACTTCTGACTTCAAGGACATGTAGTATTTTCGTATTTCCTGTAGTTTTTCTTGTAAGAAGGAGATCCTTTCAGTGCTGCTCATATTGTCCAGCTCATCTTAAAAGTGGGAAGAGAAAACAGCTTCATCAAGGTGATTTTACAAAAACGAATACAATCCTTATAGCAGACCTTATAGCAGCCTTCCAGTGCCTATAGGGGCTGACAGAAAGCTGAAGGGGGACTTTTTGTGAGCAAGTAGTGATAGGACAAGGAGGAATAGCTTTAAACAGATAGGGGAGATATAGATTAGATGTAAGGAAGTTCTTTACTGTGACAGTGGTGAGGCATTGGCACAGGGCGCCCATAGAAGCTGCGGCTGCACCATCCCCGGAAGTGTTCAAGGCCAGGTTGGATGGGGCTTTAAGCAATCTGGTCTAGTGAAAGGCATCCCTGACTTCAGCAAGGGTGTTGGAATTAGATGGTCTTTAAGGTCCCTTCCAACCCAAACTATTCTAGGATTTCATGATCAATCTTCAGAATTTACAAAATGCAACATAGAAGTTAACGCACTTCCATAACCAGGCCATAAAAGGCCTGTACCTGATTTTGAACCCCACATTTTTCTTTCAGAACAAGTTTTCTCATAAATTCCCTCTAATCAAGTCACTTAAAGAATTCTTACTGAGCTGAAAACTCCATTTGTATACTCTAGGTGAAGCGTTCTGGTGGTGGTGTTTTTCTCGGTGTTTATCCTTCTCTCCATCTTTGATGTGAGGCGAAATCACTCTTGCAGGTGATCGGGAAATCTTCTGTGGTTTGGATGCATTTATATGTTTTACAGGAGTACATTTACTTGAACTGTCCAGGACAGAAAGGTCTTCACTGTCACTACTTTGTCCTGCAGTAAGAGATATGTACTTGGATTTAAAAGAACCCAAACAACTTGACATTTTAGAGCTGTAGTTATAGTCAGAAAAAATTATTAAGAAGAAACTGCTCCTCCTGGCTTAGGAGATCCCAGAATGCACACAAGGAAAAACCGTATGAGATTCAATGTATAACCTTATCAGATACAACAGGCACTGAACTCTCAAGTGAACTGATCCTTAATGCAGGAGAAGCCAAAGGCTGACCAGGCCTTTAGTTAGAGAGTCTAAATTTTACAGAAGTAATAAAGCAGCTTATTAAAATAAGAATATTAGAGCACTGATAAACTATGTTTAAGTCACATTTTTGGTGTTCATTGTAACATAAGACACTACAATCTCCTTTTCAAAGATCAAAACTGTATTAATATAGGTAGGTAGCCCCATGACTATATATATCTACCAAATTGCTTTACACATCTAAAGGAACAGTTCTGAAACATGACTAAAAGCATAAATGCTTTAATATTTAACAGAAAGTTTTAAGCTAATATATGCAAATATTTTAGACTGCCACAGTAATTTCAAACTTTTACACAGGCAAGTCAAATATGTCTGAATATTGTATGCCAGAATTCATATTTCAGTCTGATATTTAAAAATTGTAACAATACTGTCACAGAGCCTAAATATATTGACTCATTCAATACAGTCATCACCAGAAATGTGTTACAGAAATGCAAAAAAATCAAAATTTCTACAGTAAATTAAAAAATAAGTCATATAATGGAGATAAACACACAAGACTGCATTTGCTGAAAAGTTATTCTTTAGCATCAAGCATTTTTTCTGTACTTCATAGAAGCACTTCTTCCCCATGAAAAACACCTACTGTAATACTTTGAAGGAGATGTTCCTACTCAGAACAAGCTCCCCTCTCAGAAATTCATAACCAACCCAATTACTGCAGCCTTTCAGTACTTAAAAGGTGCCTATAGGAAATACAGAGAGAGACTTTTTAGCAGGACCTCATGCAACTGGACGAGGAGTAATGGTTTTAAACTAGAACACGTGAGATTCAGGCTGGACGCGAGTTAAAAATTATTTACAATGAAGGTGGTAAAATACTGGCACAGGTTGCCCAGAGGGGTGGTAGATGTGCCATCCCTGGAGACATTCAAGACCAGGCTAGATGGGAGCAACCTGATCTAGTTGAGGATGTCATTCTCATTGCAGAGGGATTGGACTAGATTACCTTTGAAGGTCCCTTCCAACCCAAACTATTTGATGATTCTATATAAAAACAATCATAATGGTAAATATTTAGTAACTGCTAATATACACTTCTATTAAAAGTGTCTCCTAAGGAAGTAATTAAAAATAACCAAGAGATCTCCCAGGAACACTGCCACTGCAGAGCTGCTAAGTTCTTTCCAGTTAACAGTCAATAATCAGGCACCTTAATAATATTCATAAATAATCATTAAAAACCCTGACAAGGAAGTCCCACCCAATTGAAATAACGGGTAACTGAGAACACTACACCTTTATGCATGTTGGTAGGGCAGCATAACCTTCCCCCTCCCCCCCTCAAATGTACCTGTTCCATTCTTTTCATTTTTGGCTGCAGCACTTGTTCGCTTTGGGGTACGCTTTTGTTTTTTTGCCAATGTTCCGCTATTGCTATCACTGGGTCTTTTTTGACCTAAATGAGAAAATAAATAAAGACAAGACACCTCAAATATCTCTGCTACTAACAAACTTTTTTTATAAGCAACAAAGAAATTTAAAACCAGAAGACAAAGCAAACTGGCTATTTTTAGTAAAACCAGTCTTAAGATGACTTCAGATATCAGTAGAGCAGAGAGTGTTGACAGGAACGCTCACCTTTCTCTCCAATCTCTCTTTCTTGCACAGATAGACTACAGGTGCTTGATGTAGTACTGGCTTCAAATCCATTAGCAGACTCGCTTTCACAGAGACCTTCTTGAGACTCTTCTGCCACACTGTCGACTTCGATCGTCATGTCACTTTCACTCTTGATACTGCGCGATTCATCCTGGCTCAGAGTAAGAGGTGAGATCACTGAAAAGCTTGACTGGACTGCAGCGGGTAAGGCAGATAGATTTGGATTTGAAGCATTAGGATCTGGCTTTTCCAATATGATGTCTTCACTACTGCTCTTCTCCTTTTCATCCAAGTCATCCAAGTCTACTTCATGGCACAGCAGTGTTTCAGGACCAATCTGAGGCATTGCATCATCCTCATCTTTTAAGGGAACATTCTCATTTTCTTCAGAAGGACGTTCAGAGTTCTCATTTCTCAGCTCTTGAGTGTGCTGAACTGATTCTGCCACCAGTGATGGCATCTCCTCATTCTCCGTTCTGAGGGACTCTTCAGCATTCAGCCCTCTACATTCTTCTGCTCCAGTACATTCATTGGTCCTCTCTTCAGATACAATATTTGGCACTTCCATCTCACTCTGTCGTCGATTTCTCTTCTCAGGCGATGCCTGTTCTAAAGTTTTCCTTTTCAAAAGCTTCTTATCTTTTGTAGAAGGTTCTGTTTCACTTTCAGTAGTGCTGGAAATTTCCTTACAGTCCAAGGAAGACATGTCTAATCTTTCAGGTTCTGCAAGAGGTTCATTTGCCACCTCTTCTTGGCTTCCTGGTGAAATCTTGGCATTCTCTAAAGAAGGATCTTTTGTCTTGCTCCTTCTCCCTTTTCCTTTAGGTGATTTTTCAGCCTCCCTTTTGACTTCTTCTATTTGTTCTGTTTTATTTCCAAAAGTCTGAACAATTTGTTCACTTTCTTCGACTTCCAGTTTCAGTGTTTCTAGTGGCTGTACTTGAGTCCTGTCATTTTCTTTCAATGCATGAGGAATCTTTGGGTTTTCTTCATCTAGCTTCTCATCATGTAGCTTTTCACTTTTTTCCAGTTCTGAAGTTTCTGGACAAAATTCTTCATTCAAATTCTTTTCAGATGATTCATCTGCTTCACTGTCAGAAGAGCCAGAGTCTACAAATTTAAAAAAAAGAAGGAACAGCACCTTAAATCATCAATTACAACACAATTTCCTTTTTCAACCACACAAAAACTTTCTTCCCAGTAATTTACTACATTAACATCAGTTTAGAATAAACGATTTCAAACTTAAAGTGCTGCGTAATTCAACGCACTTACTACAGTTCTTATTTTTCCTCAGAATTTCTATGAAACTACAATAGTAGCGGTACTGTCCGAGTTCAAGATGCATCTGGACAACACTCTCAGTCATAGGATTTAGTTCTAGGTAGTCCTGCAAGGAGTAGGGAGTTGGACTTGATTATCCTTACAAGTCCCTTCCAGCTTGAGATATTCTGTGATTCTACTACTACTATTTCCCAAATAAGATGGTATAAACAAATTACAGTAAGAAAAACAGATCCCCATAATCTGGTATCTATCTGTGGAAACTGCCTGCCCCACCTGACATTACAAAGCAAAAAAAAAATCAACACTTCTCTCCTCCATGCACCCCCAAACAGTAAAAAAAAAAAAAAAAAATCAAACCAAACGCTTCTACACCACAATATGGACATTTCATTGTTAAACTATTGTACAAATCACGCACCATATGCAGAGCAAGCATATTTACATTACTGGATTATTCAGGGATCTGTGCTGAAAGCAGACAGTGGTTTCACTTCAGTTCTTTTTCACAGAGACTTAGAAACACCAAAGATATTGCTTCCGTTTGCATATAATTAACAACTTAAGGTGCATGATATTGTACTGGTGTTGAGGACTTAATTACCACAATGAAGACTATCATCATACTACTACAGTCGGTCTGCTCATGATTACGACTGAAAGGCTCTGGCTACAGAGTATGGAATGACTTGCACAGTCATTTCCATGCCATAGCTCTCCTGTGAGCAAACTGTGCTCCTCAGCAGTGTCAGCTCAACTATTTCCTCAATAAAATTCACAGGGAGGAAAAAAAACCAAACAAAAATCAACAACAAAAAGGTAAAAATCAAACTTCTCTTCAAAAAAGTACTGAAAAACCTCAGAAGCCTACGTGCTCACCGTTTGATCCTCTACCAGAGTCAAATATTCCTGAGCTACGTCTCATCTGCCTGCAAGGTGTTGCTAAAAATCAAAAGTATTCACTTTTATAGAGTAAAACCTGCACCAAAAATTTGTTCAGTTCTATTGCTTGCACACTGACTGGGTAAGTAGGACCTTAAAGCTGCTGGCAGCACTGTGTTCGCTGGAGTTGTCATATTAATGCATGGCATTACGTCACTGTTTACATGCACTTCCATGCCAGAACATGAGTGCACCAGATGTACCTTCTGTTCCATTTGGTAATGGTGAGGAATCTGACAAGTTGTTCCGTGCACTTCTGGCTCCTGATTTACCTTCACTATTAGGCGTTTTGGATAAACTGCAGGATGCGTTGGATAGAAGAGTAGATTTCAGAGGGGGTCGCCCGCGCTTTGTTTTTTGTTTCTCCTCATCCTTCTTCTCATCCTTCTCACTGTCTTCTTTATTCTGAGGGGAAGACAATGAATGTTAACGTTTCACTGCTGATCATCAAACCTTTTGCTCTACACTTGGATTAAAAAAAATAGGCTGTGGACTGAGTAACTTTTCTGAAAAATAACGAATTGTGACAGGCATTAAGCATTGTACCACCAAAAAAAACTTAATGAAATAACTATTACTTTTGTTTTTTTCTTCTGTTTTCTCTTTGGTCCTCCTTTGTCCACAGGCCAGATAATCCGATCCGCTTTCACCCACTCATCGTATCTAAAAGTGAGTAACAACATACTGTTATCACTACGTATAAAAAAGTTGTTTGCAGTATGGGGATTAAAAAGACTGAGTTACAGGAAACATTTATTAAAGAGAGATGGGAAATCAGAGCATATATTTACAAACACATGCAGTACCTGGCATTAGAAAGATGAATTACATTTCTAGTCCACAAAAAAATTTATGGGATGGGGGAAACAGAGGTGCAAACTTCCCTGTCTCTTGCTAGCAAAGCACTGGAACCCAGAGGACGGCACCAGCTGTAATTTTGTCCATTATTTCACATCATATACAAAAAGCAGTTTTCACCACAATAGTAAAATGCCATTTTGTTTGGGTGTTTTGTGTGGGTGGGGTTTTTTGTTTGGTTTTTTAAGGTAAAAGTTTTAAATTATAGCAACAAACTGGATGAGATTCTGAGAAGCACAAATACACTGCTAGTGCTGCTTAAAATCTCCTGAGTTATTAAAAAGGGACAGATGTAAGTGTATCTCCCCACACATAAACTTTATGTTGCCATATAAAGAAATTTGCTTTGTTTAATTAGAAATGTACAGATTTGGAACATCTCAGGTTATATATCAGAAGCGTTCTAGTTTCAGAAATTCAATTTGTGGTATTTTTGTCTACATAATCACAATGCTTTTAAGAACAAGAGCAAAAAAGCCATTTCTGCAGCACTACTGAATATAAAGCATGGCTGCCAAGAGAAGCATTTAAAGATTCTGTAGTTCTTCATAACAACCATTCTTTATAATCACAGTTAACATTCAATACAAGAATAAATTGTGTTGCCAAAATTTCAGTGCTTGATACACTTAATTGTAGAGGTCTTCACCATCATCAGTGACTCCCTTAAATAAAGTCCAATAGTGCAACAGTAGCTGACACAATAAATTACAGGGATGCTCCTGTGAGGAGTGAGGATTACTCACTTTAAGCCAGATGAAAACTTGGACACATACAAGGAAGTATATTCTGAGATTTCAGTGTTGTAGTGTCATACTATGAACAAAATTACTAACATTGAAACGTGTAATAGAGTAAGATCCTGTTACTGTGTTGATAATTCCATTTGGAGCCAAGTCACTAATCATCTCTCTCTTTTTGTTCTTAGAAATGAAAGTTCTTTTGCAAATAATCCTTTTAAGAAACAAAGAAATGAAAGGCAGTTGTTATCCTCACCTTACATTCCAACCATAGTAATGAACTAAATATAAAACTTCTCCATCATCAATTTCTGTGCTTTTAATACTGGCTTCATAGATTTTTTGAGTCTTTCCACGTCCATATTTTACTTTCACTTTGGTTCCAGTCAGGCAGGGTTCTGCATCCTCCTCATCCTCTTCACCTTCTGATTCTCCTTTGTTCTCAATTTCCTCCCTGCAGTAAAGTGTATTTAAAATGCCCACTAATTAAAGACAATCAATGTTTCAACATTTAACTAGCGTAGCCAAGCTACTACAAAAGAAAAAGGCTGCAAGAAAAAAATGTTTTCATCTTCTGTATCCTGCACTGCCCCTGAAGCTAGCTTAGACACAGCTTCTCACATCAAGAACAGGACTTTGAGAGAACAGAAGTGCCAAAAATATCCAGAAAAATTGTAATATAAACACAACTGATTATGTGTACAGCTACCTCAGAACTTAAAAATTAATTTTTAAGTTAATGTTTTGATAATGCAGAAAGAGGAATAAATTAATGCCGTGTTTGGCTCCTGAGTAAGATAGGAAGAGCTGATTTTGACACATTTTTTAAAAACAAAAAAATTCTTTCTCCTACAGTTTACTTAATAGGCTACAGTTTACTAATAACGTGCATAAGCTTGAATTGCCATCATAGTGATCCTCTCACAGATGCAAACACCATTCCATTAAGAAAAGTTGATTACAACAGTGTTTAACAAAGATTAGAAGTGTCTGCACACCTCTTATTAGCTACGTCTACCTCTTCTTATAGCTGTATCTGATATTTAAACATTCTACCTAAAAATACTTTCAAGAATCACAATCTAGCCTATTTTTACCTATACTTCTCTCCCTTTTTTAGGGTGAATTTAGCATAACGTAAACTTCAAATTACAAAAAAGTCACCAAAGAAGAAAACAGTGAAAAAGACTACGGGTTTGCTTTTAATGAAATATATTCATTAGCCTTCAACAGCAACTATCTTGCTGTGGCAAACAGTTAAAAGAAAGAGGACAAGCATCATCCATATCGCTTAAAGAAAACTCTTTGGTGCCCATGTCACTTGATATCCCTCTGTGACCTGCTGCACACCCACACTGCACCTTCATTTGAGGCATTTCCACATGCTATGGGTCACTGCAAGAATACCTTTTTTTGGACTACAGAGAGACACTTTCTTTAAAATAATCATACGTTTTTCCTACTCCCCAAAGTTCTGCAGAAGAAAACATGCAATACCCCTATCAGGCTTCATTCAGCATTAACATCCACAAAGAAAAACAAGGTAGGAAAGCCAGAGTAAGCTGGTAAGATGCTGCCTTTGACCACAGCCAAAGTTAGCTAAGAGGTCTACTCTGGTAAAGAATTATTCACCTGGTCACAACTCATTTGTAACCAGGACTATAAATCCAGTTCAACTTGTCAAGCTTAGTCTCTGGATGCTATTTTTCCTTTGCCCTTCCATGTCCCTCCATTCTCCTCTTCAGCCTACCTGTGGGTTTCATACAAACTCCCTTTTCCTTTCTTTATTAGCTGATCCCCTGCCTGCCTGCCTTCAATACATCAAGTAACAAAAATAAGCACACTCATGACAGAGACATACGTGTAAGAAGGTGACAAAGGTGAATGTTTACCTCTCCCTCTGCCTCTCTTCCTCTTCGTCTGACTCTTTATCAGAATCCTCCTGTTTTTTAATTTTTTTCTCTTTTTGCTTTGGTGTACTTTTTCTCCCTAGTGGAGTTTCATTTTCTTTCTTCTCTGCATTCTCAGGCATTTCCTCTATATCTTTGTTTTCTTTGTTATTGTCTTTTAATTTGTCTTGTGTTTTATCCTCTTCGCTATCTTTTTTAGCTGGGGTTGCATCACGAGTAAGTCTTCTTCGTCCCTAGAACAGAAATAAGAACAGTTTAATGACTCTTGTCAACTGTCCCCTGTTTGGACCCTCAGTGAAAAGAGAAATAATAATCTTGTACAGAAGAAAAGCTGGAGATAACAGCAAAAAGCAAAATACTCTAAAATCTTAAGATAACAACTTAAAGTCCTGGGGGGGACCAAAAAGAAAACAAACCCAAAAAGAAACAAACAAACAAAAACCACACCTAAAACCCCACCACCAAAAAAACGACACACACACAAACAAACATACCAAAACAAAAAACACCCCACAAACAAACCCAAAATCACCCCAAAATAAAGCCATTCTGCTTCATTTGGAATAAAGAGGATGCCATTCTGCTTCATTTGGAATAAAGAGGATAAGCTTCTGATTAACTTCTAGAGGATTTCAGGACATTTGTTTGGATCTGTAAGGTCTGTTGCTCTGGTAGAAAGAGCCACAATGCCTTGCTCAACTATGGCAATAGCATTAATTAAAGTGCTTGTAGAGGGACTTGATGATGCTTGAGATGCATCTTCAGTCCTGACAGCCACCTGTTACAATTGCTGTCTGGGCTATCTGCAACTTGCTCTTGGGGATCTAATACAGGTTTGTCATTTTGCTATTGAAAGTCTTTTGATAGGGTCATTGCTTTGTAATAAGAACATTTAAAATACATTATGAATCAAGATTAATTATCTGGAGGCCATCCAAAGACAACAGTAATGAAGGTACTGTGATAATTAAAATTCACAATGGGATAATGGCAAATACTTCAAATACTTTGGAAAAATAATTCATAGATAGCTGGTGACTGGATTAATAAAGTAATAATACATAACCAATTAATATTTATTTAGCAAGAAATTAACACAGACAGCCAAAAATAAAAAGGACAAAAAATTCTTCTACTTTATCCTCTCACCAGTTTTCTCCCCCCTTCAAAACGCCCCTGCCCAAAAATAACCAACCAAAACAAAACAAAAAAAACAACACCCAAAAAACCCAACCCCAAATCTGAAAAACCAACCCACCCTAAAACCTAAACCACAAAAACTAACAAAAAAACTAATGTCTTTCCAGGAAGTTCATTAAGGCTGATACAGCTTGGAAAAACCACTTGCAGTTAGATAGAAACGTAAAACATAATTAACAGTGTAAACACAAGTTTAGATTTGTCTTTTCATCTATTAATTTAAGAGGCCATAAACTTGCTTGAAAAGCTGGTTTGCCAGAAGTACTTAAATCAAATTACATTTCAGTTGAACAGAAACCCTACAACTTGAACAACTTAAAAAGTAGCAATTCCTGTCCTTCAGCAATCACGCTCTATTAAAGAACATAAAATATCCTTTTAACAGAATTAACAGGAGTACTACAGCATATTCAAATACCTTAAAAGTATTCTTGTATTCCCCATCAGGTTCAGTATCCACTAGCTGATGGCTCACTGATCTCATCTATGTAAATACTACCACCACCCTCACCTCTACAGCACTCAAGGATGAAGGAAGACAAAATGTAAGTGCTCCTCTCTCTACTTTACCTACATACTGTAAAATTGTAGTGTTTCTTTTATTAAAAATAGAGATACTGTGATAAAAACCAACTCAGAGAAATGGGTCTTCCTTTGATTCTTAAAGCTGTAGCAAGTCCCTTGATATTCCTGCTTCTTGCCAGAAAGCCGCAGATTCCATGTGCCTGTAGAAATTCCCACCCACAACCACAACTGCCCTGCTGAGTTTCACAGGCTGATATTCTGATGATACCCAGCCCTCAGTAGCTCTCAAGCCATCCCTGAATTGAAACATGTCTGACATTCAACATAGCCTAAGCAAATCCCATGGATGGCTTAGAGTATGAAGAAATAAACAAAACTGATCTACTCACAGGTAGGACGTAATTAACTGTTAACACCAACGGTGTTCACAGAACCCTGTCCTATGCCTGTAGTACAAGTATGCCAATTCAAACCTACAATCACTCCACAAAGGAAAACTCATTATGTAAACTGTTCACTATACAAAGGGGTTTTGTTAAGTACTAAATAGAAACCAATTCAAGCCACTTACCCTTGGGGATCTTAGTTCTGGTTCTTCTTTTTCACTTTCACTGCTGGAATAATTTTCTTCTGCTTCTTTTTTAACTTCTGTTGGGGGCATTTTTTGTTCTTCTTTCACACTTTCCTCCATTGGTTCCATAAGTTTCTGTATGTCTTCTACTACTTTTGGTTCATTGTGATGGATAGTCCTAAACTGAATATTTGCAGAACGGCAGTACTCTTCAAAACCATAAAGATACCTATAGATACAAATAAAGCTTCATTTATATTTTCTCTTTATTGAAGTGCATAAAACCTGTTTTCCTGCTCAGAGAAAAGCAAGAGAAGCAGTAACTTGGGGGGGGGTTTTGAAAGAGGGCAGAACAACTCCAACAAAAAACAAGCAACCCAACAAAAACCGCAAAACAACAAAAAAACCCAAGCCCAAATAAACAAAATAAAAAGCCAGAGAAGATTTTGAAAAGAAGCTATTATGCACACAAGTCAAATGGTGAGAAAGAATCCACACAGGTGCTTCCCACAAACTTAACTTCATCCCCATCCAATTAAGATTTCATGACAGTAAAGCCTAAGAACATATACACTGTTCTGCAAATGCATAATGACAGCTAAAATCAGCCTAGTATTAGAATATGGGCATACAAACAAGTTACCACATGGTAACAAACTGCCATGCATCAGCCTGTTCTCTGGTAACTGCCTGTATGCACACTCTAATCCAGTTACAGGTGAGAGACATAGGAACTAGTTTATTCCTGAAGGAATAAATACACAAGTTACAACGTACTATCATGTGTCCATACAACGTAATTACTTCCACTGTAACAGCAACCCAGTACGTATTTACCAATTACTCTTTTTATGATACTCTTCTCTGTAAAATACAGACCTTAAAATATGTTCCCAGTTCAAATCCCACTGCAGATAGTCTGAATATTTTCATCTTCATCAAATTTAATATGAGTTGAGTCATCAGTCATCCCTATTCAATCAGCCAAATTTCCTTAGGTTCAAGTCAAGAGAACCTCATTCTTCCCTTTTACTCAAAAAGCCCAATTGTTTCTTGTCAAACTTCCAGGAGGATAAATAATAAAAATTATTTTTATTTAGAAAATGAGCTTGAAAAGTGTCATTCCTAAAAGGTCTCCATTTCAAAAGTTAAAACACAACTGAAAACCAGGGGTCAGAATAAAAGAATTTATGCATTTACTCACTACAAGCAGTGATTTTACTACTTCATCCTGTCACATTCATCACAGCAATGTAAACTAAATTGTCCTAAACCTGTTATTCTACAGATTCCACAAAGATAGTATTCAAATATGCAGTCTGAAACATGTCTATCTCTATCAATGTTCTCCAGCACGTTAAAGAAAGAGGCATAAAATTCTCCTCATTGCATGCAGCATCTACAAAATTTGAATTTGCCAAAGCTTTTTTTATAAATTTCATTGTTGTCCTCTGAAATAGCATCATCACATGCTGAAAGTGAATGCTTCTTCATAATGAAATTAGTAGAATTCTAACGTACTAGAGCAAAAGGAACTTACACTGCCCTGAGCACGCACTCCTGTCCTCTACCATTTTAATCCTCAGTGCTGGAAAATGCTCAGAACTGTTCATTAACTGAAGAATGTAAACTACTGTTTCATTAACCTATCAAAAATTGCTTGAATTTTGCACGTGCTACTAAAAAACCACCCAGGAAAAACGTTTTCACCGCCATACAATATGAGAACTTACTTTCTATAAGCAGTTTTTACATTGTAGGAAGCAGCCGAGTTCAAAATAGGAATGCCAAGGTCCATATAAATTTGCTTCCATACAGCACCACTCTCAATCTTTGGGAGGGAAAAAAAAAAAAAGAAAGAAAAAAAGGAAGTTTTCAGGTTTTGTTAACAGAGAACATTAAGGAATGATAACACAGTCACAAGCCACAGCCTTTAAGAATGAACAGAGATATGTACTTCAGGAAACATCCAACACTTACATTGTCACACCCACCCTGCTGATACACCAGCCTAAAAAGTTGGAAGAGATTAAGGTCCTTGTAGCCCAGAACAGGTGGTTTATTGATAGGAGTACCTAAATAAAACAAAACCAGAAATAAGAATTTACCACAAAGAACAACAAACCACTTCTTCCATTCCTTTAGCACACATTTGATTACTGATATCCTTCTACATTTTAAAATCTGTATTTAATAATTCCAAGATAAAAGTCACAAGTTAGTAGTTTCCAGTCAGGAATTAAGGCTTCCCCCTACTTTGAATGCATCACTTATTTCTGGGTGGTTGATTAGAACACTGGCACCAGCTGCCTGCTAACTATGATTTCTCAACCTCCTTTCAAATTTGTGCCATCAAACTGGCTGTATCCCACTGTCCCTCTCCTGAACAGGGAAACAGCCAGAACTGCAGCAAGCTCCACAGAATACCTGATGAATGCTGGTATAGAGCAACGTGCAAAGAGATTAACTAAAAAACTTTGAAAGGAATGGGTAAGCAGCAGAAATGTTATATTAGAAAAACATATACACAGGCAAATCATCAGAAAGTAAAAAAGCACAAAGCCGTAACAGGATGTGACTGTTTGGGACAGTTCTGGGAAAAAAAGAATGAACTCAAATCGGATGAGTGGCAATGATGTAAAGAACAATAATTAAATGCAAAAGGAGAAACCAAAAGTGACTTGGGGCAAGTGGCTGCATACGTAGACAATATTCCTCCCAGCAAGGAAGAATATCAAACCTCACCCTTCTGCTTCTCATCTTCATGCAATTATATTTGGAATCATTAAAATAATTTCATAGGACTTTGAGAATACTGTCAACACATGAATCAAAACATTCATACTGAGAGAACAGAACGTAGAACAAAACCTGTGGGAAAAGAAATCTTCCCATGAGGGAAAAAAAAAAAAAAAAAAAGAAATTAATGTACACAGGCAGGAGGAAAGACCCAGTCCTGAAAAAGTTCTGTACATTGCTCAATCAACATAAATGCTCAAATGATGGTTTCTGGGCTGAGTTTCCAAATTTGGAGTACAAATGTTTTTTTCTTGTGTCTCTACAAGCACCTGACATGATCCCTACATGGTTTATATTATAAGACTGCTTAAGAAAGCGAGTGTGGAAGGAGGAAAACAGAAAAGGGGGAAGAATCATGCTACAAGAAAGAAAATCGTGGATTAATCCAGTAGCACAGGAGTGTTCTTTTTTCAACCTGACATAGACTCCTACTCCCCAAGGCAGGTTATTCTCCAGAAACACTGGTTATATACAGGAGGCGTTAAAATTATATTGGATGAACTCTAGTATGTTTTCATATAATACAAGATCAATTTCTAAAACTGCGATAAGAACTGGCAATAGTGAATAGACTTGGAACTGTTCTTTCTGTGGACTAGAACACACCTCGCTCATAGGGATGTGGAGCCTCTTTTACAGAGGTAACCTGATTTCCCCCTTGCATTTTAAAATGCAAGAAAAAAACTGGGGGAGGGGGGGAATATTTGGGCACTACTTGCACTTTATATTTTACTCTTAGCTTTGGTCACTTCTAATTCAAGTACATCAGCATTTGTTGTACTATATGCTGCTACAGAAATATCATTCAGGTAACTTATGTCAAGGAAAAAGAAAAATAGAGTAAAAGGGCAGTAGCTGCACTTGTAATCAACCTCCACCAGTGTTATTGCCGGATTAACACAGTGTTCAAATTGAAATAGCAAGTTCATGAGTGAAATGAACAAATACACTGTAAAAGATAAAACTCTTTCCGGGTTTTTTGTTTTGTTTTGTTTTTTCTTTTTTAAAAAAAGGGGCAGGGGTGTGCAGCCAAGGTACAGAAAACCTTCCATTTCAGCGTCAGCCTCATCACAACTGCAGATGTGAATGGCCTATGCAACAACTGTTCTCCCAAGTCAGCAGGTGTATCCTGCTCTCTATACATAGCACATGCACTTCCAGTGTATATCTTAGAGCAAGATTATTCCAATATGGTCTCACCTAATTCTGTAAAGACAGATATTTAAAATATGCTATTTTCTAGTTCTAGCTAGAGGACAAAGTAACAATCTTTTAAGTTGTCTCTTAAGGCAAATATCACTGCTACACCTGCACATGATTAAGACAGTTCTGCAAAGAGATTTGAAGATGGCCTATCTCCCATTCCCTGCTGGTTGAATTTCACCATCCATGAACAGCCTCCTCAGGTTCCAGCCCGAGATTAACAGCAGCAAAGTTCCCAGCCATGGCTGTCACAACAAGCAATCAACCTAGAGCTTATTTAACACGGATTGTTAACATAAAAAAGGCAAAACAAAACCAAAACACCTCTGGGAGGATTTGAGTTTCCTCTGTGTGATGTGCTTTGAAGTACTAGACCAGCCACATATGAAAATGGGTAAAAGTGTTTCTCCTTGCACCAGACTAGCCGTTACTTTTTTCACTGACATGACAAATATGCTCATAATAATACCCATTACATTACAATTTTAGAAAGCCATTAAAGTGGGCTAGAGATTAAATTATAAACAAACACAGTAATTCAGTGTTACCTCTGTCTTCCATAAACTTGTAAAGTTGTTGGAGGAAGTTGTCCCTCTCTTCAGGATCAAGCTCTTCCTCAGGCTGTGGAAACAAATGCAGTCATAATGAAAACAAAGTATACAAAGTAACAATTTATTTGTACAGAAGCGTAACAGTGAGAACTAAACCCAAACCACTTCCCATTTGGCCATGCAGCCATATAATGGTGAAATATGCAGAAAACAAAATTTGCTCCAGAGACTTAAGTGTGTATCTCAGGAAGAGAAAAAGAAAATGCACATCAGGGAAAGCCTCAATCTATGACAGAAAGAATGTAAGTGTGACCCTCAGAATGAAAACACTAATATATTTTCCCTACTGTTCGAGGTAGAACTTTTATGTATATTTACAAGACTGAAGCAGTTCACAGGAACTCTAGGGGTTTTGGTTTGGGTTTTGTTTGTTTGGGGTGTTCTTGTTTAACTCACCCTCCTTACCCAAACTCTAGCTAAGGTTGCAGAAAAATTATTTCTCCTGGTTCTGATTCTCCAGACAGTTTTTTGTTTTGGTTTGGTTTTTTTTTTTTTTATTTATTTTATTTAAATTCCAGTGCTTGATTTCAGCTTGTATTTGGAAACACTTTTAGTGCCACTTCTGCTGTTTATTATCATAAATTCCTTAGTTTTACCTTTATAGTTAAAGTCTCAAAGAGATGAGCACTTATGAACTTTATGGGAAGCAGTCCACAGTGTGACAGGTGGAAACCATGAAAACACAGTACATTTATTGGGAAATGGGGATTTTCAAGATGCTAGCAGAGAGAGAGAAAAAAAAAATCCCTGCAACGCTTTACACATGCCACTTTCTTCCTGCCAGCCTGGCAATCATAGGGATTGCTGGTGAGGCAGTTTGCACAAGGAGGACTGCAGCTGTCTTGAAGGAAAGACGTAACCGTATGTGTCAAAAAAAATCTTATCATTACATTATTAAAATAACAGAAAAGTCACAAGTAGTTCCAGAAGGAAACCAGAATAGCAATTTCAATTTCAGTCATCTCTGCATTCTGTAAACTTTAAGCTTCAAGGCAGGAAGACAGGCAGTGAAATGTAAATGTATACGCTACTGCTTTGTTAACCAGAAAGCAATCTGCCCAGCATCAGAATGAATTTCAGCCCTGCCTGCTTCAGTGAATGCTAAGCTTCAAAGCTCAGCAGGGCTCACCTACGATCAGGCAGAGACAATACCTGTTTCCTATTTTCCTGTTTTTTCTTGGGAAATAATTGGAAGAAATTGAATGAATCATCACAACATTGTACAGCAACAGTAACCATCTGCTCATACTGCCTTATAGGGATTATATAAAGAGAAACAGTTATCTATAAAATTAGTATAACTTCCCAGGTTAACAAATTAATTATTGCAATAGAAACCACATCTTTCTTCTCTCCAACTAGATCATAAACCAACTTCAGCTTAGAGAAATTTCTACCACCTACTCTAATGTTTATTGGTTGAAGGCCATACAACTCAAACTATGCAAACTAAATACATCTAAATAATAATAAACATCCAGAAATACTTCTGAATAGTTGAATTCAAACCATTTCTTTCACGTGGGCATAATGCCAAACCAGAACTGTAGGTCAGAACAGCAGAAATGTAGGTTAGAAATAGCACTCTTTCAGACAGAATGTTAACTGTTTCACTGATAGCAAGTATTTTGAGCTGAAGCAAAGCAAAAAGGAAAGATGAAAAGCTTTTTTTATATACTTAAGAGGACAGCGGCATAAAGCCCAACTATTCATCCATCTATGTGAGATATGCCAAGTCCTGTACCTGCTTCTCTCTGTCAGTGGTGTATGACTTAGGTTGCCACCCCTGGACAGACAGAGTCTGAACTGTGCCTAGCACCAATACCAGAGTAAATACTAAATCCTTCAGACACGTGATTTGAGTAAGACCTAAAGTCTGACTGTCACCAAGGAATAAATCATGATTCAGCTATTTCAAAGTCTTTTTTTTGCTACTGGCCAAAATGGGAAAGACCAGCCCTTCACTGATGTGCTTATTACAACATTAAGATACATGGACTTTTATAAGCTGTCATTTTTTAATCAAGGTTATCTATTCATAACTGAACATCACGAATTCCCGGGAGTGTCTACTGCTCTGAGTTAGAGTGTTATTTTAAATATGTCAAGCATCATCTAAGACGCTGTATCAGCAACCTTAAATCTGCACCTGAAGTCACGAAAACACGTGAGAAACTTGACTCCACACCCTGTGATCACCAGCACTGGGTGACTGGAGAACTGAAATTCCCAGCATCTCTTTCCAGCAGGCACTGGGGTGACACTGCTACCTGCCAGAACTCGCTTCTATCCAGACACTTATGCCCATTTTAGACTGGGCATAAGCAAGTTCACAGTGATAATAACTGTGCAGAATCTGTTTCTTAAGAGAGTTCTGTCTCCCCATTTCATCTTGTTCCTATACAGATGTTGCAAAAAAGGGAGACTGTAGTCAAAGATGAGGCCAACTGCAAGGCAAAACAGTATGTAATATTTAAGTGGAAGGAGTTCAAAATGGAGGCCTTCCTGTTCTTCATCCAGTATCCATAACTAAATGCAAAATGAGAAAATCTTTTTTGTCTCAGGGTGAGAGGCTTAATTTTATTTAAAAACAACAATCTTCAAGATGCCCTTTTTTGCTCATAATTAAAAAGTTGAAACATTATGGGTTTGAGATTTTTTCCTCTTGACTATTAGGTCACATCAGATAGAGAATACTGTAAAACAGTGAAATCAACAATTACACAGAATCTCTGTACAAGGGACATACTCCTTTCCCAACACTATTTCTTATTGCTTTCCAAGTAATACTGTGTTCAAGTATTTTGTAAAATTACTTTAAGAACCAGTAAATAAGCACAACATGAAACACACAGAAACTTGTAGAAAACTTGTCACGGTTTTGCTTCATTTAATTTCAAGCCACTTCATTCACCGTAAGTTTTCCTTCTGTCTTAAGCATTATTTCAAATAAGAGTATTGCTCTGTTATCCTGACTCATCGTTTACTCTACAGAAAGATGTTAAAGCTTCTGTGGATGCTCACCTGTAAAGCTGAGTGGGAGCACAAAGGATGAAACAATTTCTTCTACAAAACAAAGAATGAATCTCTACTTAGAAGCACATACACCATATACTAAAATCCACATGGGGTGAAGGTACCAGGGAGAGATCTTTCTTTTATTTTATTAATAGACAGACTTAAAACTCTTCTGTGAAATAGACCATAAACTCTCATGTGAAATAAATACAAGCTAGGAATAAGAACAATGTGTACAGGATTTGGAGTTCAGAAGAGTATATGATCAAGACAAGCTGCCACAATTAGAGTTAGTGTAATTTTATTGCTTCAGAGTACTTAAATGTGTTTTCATCACTTGCATATTTGCTTTCTGATGCCAAGTTTGAACACTAATTAAGGAAATGAAAAGGATTAAACCTATTTCAATAACTTAACAGCTTTACACCATGTGGAGATGAGAGTGATCCTAAAAATGTTAATTTCTACCAACCAGGAATTCAACCATCTTCAACAATGACTCACTCCAGAGCTGCGCCTCAGTTCGCAAGTTCTTCACTCCTTCTTGAGGAATATTCTGAGAATACCCATTAGCATAAAATTGTGAGCAAGAAAGTCTTTGTGAAGAACATTTGTGCATGGTATGATGTAGGTCATGGTTCACAGTAGCCAAAACCACTCCAAATGCATGCATGCATGCATGCATAAGAAGGATGATTAGCTCATCAATATTTAGCTAGGTCTTTTTTAAAGTTATTCTGCGTATTACACATCACAGCTGCTTAGAGGTGGGGTTTTTTTTGTACATGTAAATAAACCACTTGTTTCTGCATACCATGCTTCATTAACTTTGAAATTACTGTATTCCTGTATTTAACTTTTAGAGTCAGCTTTTTCAACGTTATCTTGAAATACACATAGGTTAAAAGAGAAATGGACAATTCAGGTATCATTTTATGTGGCCTCCCACAGTCACATAGAGAAAAGACTACATGGAAAACAAGAACTACTTTGAAACAAAATGTAAATATTTGAATAGATGACTGCTGATCATGTGTAGGAATCTCAGGCTCCTAAAACACACCATGGATTTCATCCTCATGGACTCATCCCTCCTTTATAAACTAGTGCTAATAAAATACATGGTAATGACTTATTGTGAGAATCAAAATCCGTGCTTATCTGCAGAATAAGTACAGTGGAAAATGCTTCTGGCACTTTCCCTGATCAACAACGTAAGGCAACTGTGACCGATGTTTCTTGATGATACTGTGGTACAAGAACCCTAAAAACTTTAAACGAATGCACACTATTAAACATACATAAATCCTTCCGGTGACTGCCAAAATTAAGACTAAGGAAATTCCTCTAAGAGGTGCTACAACTCTTTCTTCAATGAGAGGCATGGGGACCAGCTAGCTGGATATTTTCCATGAACGTTTTTTGCATGTTTGATTAAGGGAGGGAAAAATGAAAGAACAACGAACTGTAATTAAAGTGACATAGATGAACTGGAAGAGTCTCTCAAAGATGGTTTTATAACCAATTCTATAGGTAAGATAGAAATCCCTTTTTCCTTTTTGATATTATAAAATGATCGAATATTGAAACTTGCAAAATTCAAACTCTAAAGAACAAATTCCTTACTTTTATCTTATATGTGAATATATCTATTAAGAATAGATACATACTGAAAATGTATCTCAAATAACTGCATGTTAGATCTTGATTCTTTTAGAACCAGAATGGCCTACAGGGAGACTGAGAGGCAAAACCAAATGTTGCCTACATGTTCCCTGGTAAAACTGGGAGTATTTGACTATGTAATCACGAGAAACAAATAGGTATGATTTCTTCCCTGACGGAACAACCTACATACAAGCAAATACAGTAGTATATATAATCTGATTTTTAATAAAAATCAGGTAATGTTCCAAAAGCTTCCATTTTTATGTGGAGATACTGCAGTTGAGATCTTCTCTCCCCTTTTAGCTGCAGTGCATTCTTTGACTG